AGAAAGAAGGAAAAAATTGACCTGCATATATACATAAAAAATACATTATTGTGAAACTTTATCTCTTCTGCGACATAATATCCGCGTCAATCTCACATAAATTCGCTCCTGCTGAGCTTCATATAAATATGCAGAATTTGCACAATATACTACGTGACCCACATGAACGGTTATATACGCGGATAACGCTATCACACAATTAATTTTGTAAATGCAACGAGGTTGCTCAGATAACGTACCTTATAATTCGTGCAAAAAAAAAAGTTTCTGTTCTTTCTTTCAACTTTAAAGCTGCCAATATGTACTTTTATGATATTTCTGTAAATTAGAAGTCTTACGTTCTTATGCTTTAATACATGTCGTCATTAATTGTACAAAATACACACATATATATTTAACTCGATGGTGCATATCAATTTATATTTCAAGATAAGAAAAAATGTAGAAAACAATAACGCGAGAGAGAGAAAGAGAAAAGGAGCTACCGTGTAGGAAACGACTATATCGAAGTCGACGACTAATCCGATAAGGAGAAAGACGAGCGAGGCAAAGCGAAGGTTTTTATAATCGCCGCAATTATCTGCGAGACCAAAGTCGGATATATACGTATAACTCTAGCGCGCAACAGTTTCAAGGGGCACCATCGCTTCTTATCGGGGCACTGGCTGCGTGCCGGCGCAGTTGCATGCGGAGGCTGATAAACAAATAATTAGCATTCGAAGTAACCCGCATTCGTATTATCGCTGGCATCGCTCTCCTCGCCACAGGGGGAAGGCGTATATTCGCGTAACCCTTCGTTGACGTATCTCTACATATACATGGTGTGTATATAATATATATACTCGCGCTAAGAACTCAAAGAGCAGGTTGACGTGCAACGGTATTCGTGCTACTCGCTACATTTTACCCGACTTGTACCTGGACAGGGTAATTAGCGCGGTATGGAAATCACGTTCGCGCAACAATTCGACCGTTCGATATCTAGAAGCGTTTCTTTCCCGCGGAATGTTTCACGTGTTCGCGTAAGCGTATCGAGATCGTAAAAAGAATGCCATCGAGATTGTTTCAGGCAGAAGTAATAATGCCATTTAAAATTATAATTCAACGGTATGCCGCGTATCTGTAATATGTTATAATTTGCATGGTAATAATAATTACATTACTTATCCAAGATAGTACTTTTTTTATGAATAATTTTACTTGGCGCTTTTCTTTCGTAACACGTGAATAAAATGTGATTAGTATACGAAATAGATTAATTCAGACTTCCCTGTAATATCTCGAGGAACATGTTCTCTATATATATCAAAGTTGACATTCTTTTTGTGTTACGTTATATTAAATTAATATCTTTTTTTCATACGAGAATTTAAGTAGCATCGTATTATAATTAATGTAAAATGGCGAAAGGATAAAAACGAAAGCGAATATATACTATGAAAAGAGAAATGATACGAACCATTCATAATTAAACGCATAAAAAATAGAAATTACAATAAGCGATGAGACCGACATGGTAAAATAGGTGATATCACTCTGGTTGGAGACTGCTTAATGCAGGTGGATCCAATCAGAAACTCGACCATGCCAGCTCGCGGCAGGTGCTTGGAGATCGCGGTCAATGGCTCTCGAGAACGACCGACACTTTTTACACGAAAAGCAGAAAAGGGCGCCGACTAATTTTGCGCGGCGTTCCATTACGGGACACGGAGCAACTCTTCTTTTCGCGCGGCTCGTCCCTTTAATTGTCTCTGTCCGCGTAATTCGACGACGACTTGAAATAATTTTTAAATCGTTCTCTGTAAACTTGCGTTTCTTTTAATCGAAACAAAAATATTTAATCCGTGAAAAAAATTTTATTTAATTAAACAGAAGAAATCCTGTCTTTTTTCTCGCACGCTGAAAGGAGGAATTAATCGAATTTACCAAACTCGAGACTCTCGATGTCTTCGTTAACGTGCACGCATAAAGTGCCGATCGTCGACGCGCGACTCGCTCGCCTGATGCATGAACGAGGGTTCTCTCGAGCAGCAGAAAGGGGGACGAAAAGTTTGACACGGCCGTCGGATGCGGTTCGCCACGAAGCTCGACCGGTAGACACCCCACGGTTTGTTGCTTCGCACCCTCGCTGTCGGGTCTTTTACCTCCCTCGCATTCAGCTGTCACGTGGCTCGTGCTCGAACGATCGCCGACGTTTCCGCTTTATTTTCCGCCGTCGAGTGCTCGATCTCGTTAACGATCACGCTCGTCGATCGAGCCGCTTCTTGACCTCATCGCACCGACCGGCAAACAATCCCGCGACGACGCCTCGATGCGAACGAGTTCTCGGAAAAAAGGATCCCGAGTCGGCGCGCACGACGACAGGACGAGGCGAGACGAGCGAGAGGATTCTTCGTTTTAATTTATGCGCGGCGTAGCTCGGGGCATTATTAGTCCTAGCTGGCTGCGAGGGGGCGTGACGTCACGCGACTAAAACAAAGGATCCTACCGGTGCCCATTTCACGTCGGTTCCCTTTCAAGCGCGCCGACAGGAGGGACGCGAGGGATCCCGGTCTCTCTCGTCGAGTAAATTCGGTTACACTCTTTACGCTTCGTCAGCCTCGTATCGTGCATATATTTTTTACCTAAAAACGATCGATGTCGGGATCGCGTTTCCGTTTGCTCGATCGGAATAAAATCTTTCGCGCAAAACTGAAAAATTATTGATATTTCGTTACAAAAAGAAACTTTGTTTGTTGCTGGACAAGAAGCGTTAAACGAAAAAAATTCCAATGATTTTGAGACGTGACGAGAATGAGATAAAGGTACGGGCGATGGAGGACGGGTGTATGAGGGCGCGTACGATTCCGCGATGGAGACCGGGAGGGAGCTGATCGAGGGACGTCGTTGTCTCCGCAGGCCACTGTCATATTGTCCCGGCGGATCGATACGTGGCCTGCCTACAACCTGCACTCATCGAGCTTGAAGAGGGCGTGGCTCGTACACTGGTGGAGAGACACTCAACCCCGTTGCGATCTCCGTTGCCGCGCGTTAGCTACCCTCCTCTTCCTCTTCCTCCCCCCTCTCCTACCGCGCCACCCTTTCGACGTAAAAGCGGGAGAGACGATTTCGTTCCTTTCAACCCTCCGCGGTTCTCTCTCGTCGTCACCCTCCACGATCTCCGAGCGTCAACGAGCGCTCTCATTCGTCGAGGATGTCGTAACGGGAAGCAATCGCGCGCAGTTCGGAGATTTCCTCGGAATAATGACTTTTACTCAATACCATACCTTCCCACGTTCGAGTATAAATCACAGTAATTTTGTAGTGCTCCGAAAATATAAATAGTTAATAGCAACATCCACGTATTTTAACGCTTAATTATTCAGCTCATTATTACTTGTGTTAATAGCACCGAGTGGCGGAAGATCTTGGCGTTTCGTACACGAGAGCTTCTCTAAATAACGAGACCGTATTATAGCAATATCGATCATGTTACTCCGAAGAAATATGAGCGGGATATTTGTTGTACGCGTTGATGAATGATCGGGGCAACCGAGTAAAACTCTCTTCGAAGGATAGATCGAGCACGAAGCGGTCGCGACTCTTCCGTTTTTTCTTTTTCTCCCCCTCGCCTACTGAGTCTGTCTTTCTCTCTCTCTCTCTCTCTCTCTCTCTTTCTCTCTCGTCGCCACCATCCTGGAGGGGTGCGCGCGTTTCGTTGTCTTTCGCCGGTGTTGTTGGCGCAAGGTTGAATCCACGTGGGGGCGTGTCGCCTCGATGGCGCCGACTGCTAATGGCCGCGCGGCCCTCCAGACCTTAATTTCCTGCCGCTTCCGCGGACCCTCTCGCTTTTACCTCTCCGAGTCCAAATCCGTTCCCCAGGACCTTCCTTCAGCCTTCAGCCTCCGGCTCTTCGGTAGCTGCCGACACTCTCCTTGTCCTTTCATCCCCCCGCGAGCAATTTGCATGGAACTGCTCTTTTGATGAAGTTCGTTATCTAAAATCCCTCGTTCTGCTCTTCTGCCTGTCGTCCGCTTTAATTTTTAGCTCGCGCGCAAATTGTGCTCCCTTTAATCCCTCGTGCCGCGTGAAAGGGAGCACGAGTTTCGCAAATTTCTAAGAGGACTCATTGAAATTTATACTAAATCTTATAATGTACGAAAATTTTATCGTTATTTATTCGATTATATCGAGATATAATTGTGTTTTTCTTTAGAAAATAACAATTCATATCTCTCTTATCTCGAACTCATATATATGTACGTGATATTTAAAGTAAATCAATTTTTATCTTTTTCGTATTTTTATGTCGTAATGTCTCATATTGTTTCGGACCTCCTAATATTGTACCGTGGAAAACATATGTCGACCTTGTGTTTGTTTCGAGAACAATTTGCATGAAACCGGCTTAGGTAGAGCGATCGGTCTATCCGGGTCTCCTTACTTTTAGCGACTAATCTTGGATCTCTTCTAGGATAGGAGCGGCAATTTAGTGTCATTATACGCCCTTAGGGGAAGACTTTCTTCTTTCTCTCTCCATGGGCCCGGGCCTCGACTTCTTTTTAGATCGATTTAGACGCGGCGGCGATTATGGGCGTCCATCGACCGACAGATTTCGATATTATGTACCGCGCTGGCACGAAAAAGTATCCCGGTCGTCCGGTGAATCGAAACGCGCGATACGTAATTCGCCCCATAGTTGTTATTATCGATTTGCGTAATCGCACCGATCCAGCTGAAATCGTTCCATAACAAGTGTTTCCGATTTCAAAAATTCCGAAAAAGACCGGTAACGCGCACGCGTTGTTAGCACATTGTAAATTGACGATAAAGATTATGCGAGTTCCCTGATATTTGTCGGGCATTCTTCATCAAGAATTTATTATCATATTTCTAAACATAAATTAAATGCCCGAATTATTCTTATCGTATTACGCAACAATATATACGCTAAAATAGATAAACTCTTTCTCTATGCAATGAAATTATGACTGAGCATAGATTTAATTACAATGTTACAGGATCATCCGGGATTACGAGGCACGCCGGGCGGCCCGCCCGGATTCGGGCTTCATCATCACGCGGCCGCGACGGCCGGCGCCGGCGCCGGAAGTCCGCAGGCCGGCGGCGGCGGTGGCAGTGTCGGCGGCGTCGGGGGCGCCGGCGTTAGCCAAGCGCCCTCGCCGCGCTCGCAGAGACGTTACACCGGTCGCGCCACGTGCGATTGCCCGAATTGTCAAGAAGCCGAGAGACTCGGTCCCGCCGGCGTGCACCTCAGGAAGAAGAACATCCATAGCTGCCACATACCGGGTTGCGGCAAGGTCTACGGGAAAACGTCGCATCTGAAGGCCCACTTACGGTGGCACACTGGTGAGCGACCGTTTGTTTGCAACTGGCTTTTCTGTGGCAAGCGGTTCACACGTTCGGATGAGTTGCAGCGGCACCTTCGAACCCACACCGGCGAAAAGAGATTCGCCTGCCCGGTCTGCAACAAGCGGTTCATGCGCAGCGACCATCTCGCGAAGCACGTCAAGACCCACAGCAGCAGCAGCAGCAGCAGCGGCAGCAAGGGCAAGGGGGGAGCGGGGAGCTCGTCGGCCGAGTCCTGCTCCGACAGCGAGGACAACGGGAGTCAGCAGAGTCCCACTTCCAGCTCGGTGCCGCAGCCGCAGCCGCCGCCGCAGCCGGCGGCTCAGGCCCAGCAGCAGCAGCAGCAGCAGCAGCAGCAGCAGCTGGCGGCGGCGCAGCAGCAGCAGCAGCAGCAGCAGCAGCAGCAGCAGCAGCAGCAGCAGCAGCAGCAGCAGCAGCAGCAGCAGCAGCAGCAGCAGCAGCAGCAGCAGCAGCAGCAGCAGCAGCAGCAGCAGCAGCAGCAGCAGCAGCAGCAGCAGCAGCAGCAGCAGCTGGCGGCGGCGGCAGCAGCGGCAGCGGCAGTGGCG